TTTCCATATAGTCTAGAGTAGCGTTGAGTTGTTACCACTGCGTGCATCTGAAACAAGAGAGTCAGCCTGATCATCTCAATGACATCTCTCAGTTCAGGCCTTCGCTAAGTACGCCAATTCGTTGCTGTCTCTGCGTCACTCGGTCCCAGCAGCGAATTGTCTGCGTGCTGTGTCATGAACTTTCGCAACATCTTCGAGGGCGGCAACGCAGCGCACACTCCACACCTGCGGTCTCAGGCAGCAGATGACGCATGGGCCGCCTGTCTGCCGAGATTAAGATGAGCAGCGGTATTCTCCCCCTCACCCTCTCTGCGCAAGTAAGCACTCTTACAAGCCTACGAAGCATTTGCTTCATAACTACGAAGAAAATAAAGGCGTTCTAGATTGCTTCGTATTATGAAGTAATGCCTCGTATCACGAAGGGCTTTGCTTCATAATGCGAAGCATTTCTTCGTAGATTTTACCATGACTTCATTTTTTCTCCGTAGTTTAGTGAAAAACTAGCTGGGGCTGGGGGTCCTAAGTTTGTTTTTCACTTCATTATGTTACCCTTCACTGATTTCAACCCATTTGAGCGCCCAAATACTCATTTTTTTTTTTAAAAAAAAAGAACAAGTACAAAAGTTTTAAAACTTTATTTTAAATTTCAAAAAATCATCACGACCAAAGTTCTGAATTTTCTCTTATATACACAAATTTATTCAGGAACTCTTTGAGTCGAAAAAAAAGGGGGCTAGATCTCAGCAAGTTTGTGACCACGATACTTTGACGTGGAATGCCCGAAATCCTTGATTTACACACCTCTACCAGGCGGGACAAAAATGCAGTTCTATTTTCAGTGGGCGTCGGACAATACTTTCCCACCAAACAAAATTGCATCACCGTCGGATGTGCTTAAAATTGCAAAACCCGTGAGACAAAAAAAAAGTCCCATGAAATTTTCTGTGTACATGAAACGGTGATTTGAATTGACCAGGGGGTGGCAACGCTGTACACGTATGCTGACGCCATGTTCGACTCCCCCCTTAGATCATGGTTCTTTTCAAGGAGATACTCTCTGAACCCAGCAAAGGAATCGAATGAAACTTGAGTGCGGCATCAAGTAAAAAGGTCATATGAAAGTAATAATTAAAGGAGAGCACACTTACGATCAATTCACTCCTTAAAACCGCATCGCGAAAACAAGAGAAAAATTGGGTTTTGTTAAGTGTCTACTTATATTTTCAAAACGTTAATCTTGTTAAGTTTTTGAGTTTTTTAGTTAAAACCTGGCCTAAACACTTCCTCAATTCATATATTATCGTAATACCAAAACGGCTTGGCTCTAATGGACTTAGTACTTTGGATCTCGTCGAAGTAAACTAATGTGCAAGGGGTGGCCGAACATGGCGTCAAGAAAGATGCAGGGCGTTGCCACCCCCTGAATTGACGGAAGATTTCAAAATCTGAAGGAGTAACTACTTATGAAACTTCGACTGAGAGCGCTGAATCAATCCAAGACTGTAGTCCAATGACAGTTGCACTTTGCTTACAGAAAGAAAAGCACCACCAGTGTTTTCCGACATAGGAGTATGTCAGGTCTGGACTTTTACTTATGGTTTCATCTCGCTTATTGCAAAAGATTCAACTCGAGTTTTTTTCTTAATGAAATTAGAATTGTAAAAAAAAACGTAGGTCTGAAGGAGTGGGAGTGCGGATATCAACGTAACGTTTAAAATACGTGTTTTCGTACTTAATTATTTCACGGCTACTACCGCCACACTTCTCTCCTATTGCAGTTTTTCTTCATGTTGTTCGTATATGTCATGATTAGTCGTCAGAAATGCACTCTAAATGTCTTACCGTGAAAGGGTGCATTATTGTTAACATTTTCTCCATAACACCACCAAAATATCACCGTAAAAGAGGAATTTTCACTGTACAACTTTAAGAGTGCGGGCGCCCCGGGCCCCGACCGGGGCGCACTCAGGCACCAACTCTTACAACGGTCTGGACCCAAGACTTCCACAATAAAAATGCTAGAGGCCGTTTGTGACAAATTAATTTCTTTATCTCTTTCTGAAGACAGAAGGAACAAGGGCATACACAAAAAGGTACACTTCAAACACACTTATAACTCGAGGTTAATGTCTTAAGCTATTGAAGCAAGGCAAAAGTAAAATGAAATGGCAAAGCGTTTCAGCCACAGACTGTGTATGAAACGGTGTCACCTGGAATATAATCATAACAAAACCAATCTATGATTCAATAAAAAAACATGCATTCCAATTGTTGAATCCACGACAATTACACAAACATGAATTCCAATTGTTGAATCCACGACAATCACACAAACATGCATTCCAATTGTTGAATCCACGACAATTACACAATAAGGTAAGTAGGGCATGAAAAACAAAACAAAATCAGATTGGTGACTATCTGGCCAAACAAGATCAAGAAATGAAATCGCGGTTTTAAACAACGGGCTGAGCAGAAGGGCGCTCACAAGACGGGCAAGGTGGCAGTGCTACCTGGAAGCAGTCCCTCGGGCAGTCGGCCTTCTTCCGGTGTGCCGAGAAGAAGGACCAGAGGCTGGAGGGTCGCTGGGCGAGCTCCTTGTGGCAGCCCCACCGGCACCAGGGGCACGGGCAGTCCTCCAGGACGGGCGCGGCGGACACCTCGATGCGGAGGTGGAGCTGAGGGTTCCTGACGAGAACGTCCTGGACGAACGGGTCGTGCAGCCATGCGTGGGCGCACGTCTCGAAGCAGCAGACCCTGAACATGGAGAGGCGGGGCAGGGCCGCGGGGCTCACCGCGCGCAGGAGGCTGTCCGGTGGCGTGGACGCCACGCCGAGCGTCTGGAGCGCGGGGAACCGCGGCAGAGCGGCGGCCAGCACGTCCAAGGCGTTCGACCCGTGCGTCGAGCGCAAGAACAGGTGCTCCAGGCGGGGCGCAGAGCACGACTCAGCCAGGGCTTGCACCGGTCCGGAGGGATCCTCGTAAGGCAAGTCGATGTTGACGACCTGAAGCTGCGTCGCCTTTCGAATGAACTCCAGTGCCCCGGCAGGGAAGCCCTCCCGGTGTATGCCCGTGAAACTCAGCTCCTTCAGAGCGTCTCCTGCTTGCAACTGCGACAGGCCATCGTTCGGGAAGCAGCACAGTGCGCGCAGCCTGGGGATCGCGTTCAGGAGAGTCAAAGGGAAGTCCGACTGGCCAGGGACCGCATTCGATGCAGGTTCCGGCATTTTCCAAACCTTGTTGAGGTACACCTTTTCCAAGGTGGCGGCATGGGTTTGTAGCATCAGGTGGAGGAAGGGGTCCATGGTCGGTGAGGTGTAACTGAGCAGAGTCAATGAGGGCTTTTGCTTCACATCACACCATGCGATTGGCATCGACGCATCACTGTTGATCCATATGTTCAGTTCACGGAGATCGCTCACAGAGTAGATCACCTGCAGAAGCGGAGAAGCAGTAGCCACGGGAGTATCGGCAAAGGACACCCAGAGCTTCCGGAGGCCTCCCAGACTCGACAGCTTCTCAATCAGTGGCGTGGCCAAGGCCACGTCCGGTGCGGAGCCAACTGAGACCGTGAGCTCCTTGACCACGCACGTCGTGCCGGCCACCAGGGACGCCAGGGCCTCCAGGCCCAAGGTGTCCGAGTGGACATGGCGGACGCAGGGTGCTAGGAGCAGGGCGGCGCGCACCACGCCTCTCTCCTGGGCGGGCAGGCAGACGCGGCGCCACAGGTCGCGGTGCAGGCAGAGGTCGCGCAGACGGCGGCACAGCAACCGGCATCGGAAGAGCTCCCTGGGCGGCAGGTAGGCCAGCACCGCCACCAGCACGTCGTCCGGCAGGGCCAGCAGCAGCTGCGGACAAACACCGCGTTACGCACTGATGAAAACTACGGATATCTCCGTACCCAAAACCACGTGGCCATTTGGATCGGCCGGCCGGCCAGTGACTTTTTATGAGAGTGTCCCGCACCAATCCCGCACCTCTGCGTTGTTGTTTTTGTTGTTGTTTTGTTGAAAAATTTTGTTTCTCTTCAAATCGGAGTGAATTGAGCCATTGAACTGCGTACCTGTGCACATGCATCTGTGAATTATCTTTCCTTAATGCAGTTTAAGAGTCGCTTTAAGAATTTTAGTCTCTTTTTGAATAAGCTGGTCATGTAGCTGCTCCTTTTAGCCAGGTTTGATGATACTACTGATTCAGTTAGCACCATGATCACTTCGCTCCACCTCGCGACTTTCAGTGCTCATGTTCCTCGAACAAGACTCACCCGTGTTTCGAGACCATCCCTCTCGAGTTTATAAAGTTTGTCAAGCCAACCGTCGTGGTGTTGCTACGTTGTGAGTGAGAACTATTACACAGAATTGAAGAAAACATGACTAGAGAACCGTAGCCTTTTGAAACAAGCCAAACAATTCAACGTCAGCAACAATGGAGGGGCAGTTTTAATGCGCGACTATACTCGTGTTTTCAGCTTCGCGATTTTCGCAAGGGCGCAGACGCCGACAAAATTGTTGCCAACCCGCGAAAATTAATTTACTGCCTTCTTTATGAGCAGTTGCCAAAATTCGGGGCACTTTTGAAGGCCATAGAACCGCAAAAAAAATGTGGAAAAGTCGGCTTTTTTCTCGGCCAATTTATTCAGTGATGTCCCACGACTTATATCTGAACGCAGTCGAGCTCCCGGTGCAATATTGCAGAAAGACCAAAAAGCCCCCATTCAAAAGTATAGGGGAAAGACACGGAACGTTACAGAAAACAGCAGGATACGGAACGTTACATTGTCATTCAAACAGGCCTAGTAACTCTCTTGCTATGAATTACAAGGTACGTGTACGCCAGACTGTGTCTTGTCGTAACAGGCTTCGCGATGCTGCGCCAGTTTCGACAATCCACGCCTGGCGTATACACCTACCTTGGCCTGCGGCGCTAACCTGCCTTCGGCAGGCTGCCTTCCTTGGCAGACCGTGGAAATGGGCGTGATCCCCTCAAAAAGAGCATTTGGTCATCAAAATCTACACTAATGTGGCTAAACTTTCGGTCGGAGGTCTGAATGGGTTCTATTTTCGTCATCAGCACCCTCAAAAACATTTAAAACGACATTGAACTTGACAAAAAGTTGAAGGTTCCAAAAAAGTTGTCTTTTTCCTGCCGTTTTTAAAGTGTTTTTTGGCTAATATGACCGAATGGATTGAGATAGAAAGCTGAATTTTGGTGTGTGGCGAGCCAAGGATATGCCCAATGACCCTGCAAAATCTCAGTAGAATCGGCCGAGCCGTTTAGGAGGAGTAGTGCGGACACACAGACACACACACAGACAGACAGACATGAAAAACTTTTCAACCCCACTGGAGTAACAGGCTTCGCTATCGCTCAGCCAAAAACACGCCATTTGGTGTGAGCTCCTGTTTTAAGATTCCTCAACACGTCCCGATAGAATCATATCTCTGTTTGGTCTAGAACTTGCCCGGGGAACAGAAAAGCATTTTAAAATCATGGTCGGACACTACCGAAACATAACCTATAAAACAAGATTCTGAGCTTTCCATTAACTTCTCAGAGTTCCCGTTTGCACCATTCGACGGCAAAAATGCTACAGATTAATCTGACAAGGCCGAGAACTGTGGAGCACAACGGGAGAAACCGTGATAATTCACATGTAACGTTCCGCAAAGTCAACCACGGAGGACATTTTGCGTTTACAGATTGCACCCAAATCGAGCTCGTAAAAACGAGTTCAGTACCGTGAAACGGGGTAACTACGGACACTTTTGATAGGTTTTTTTGAAATTGTGAAAGTTGTGGTGCTGTCATCGACTTGAGGGTCAAAATTTATCATCTACCCACCTTTAGCTTCGATTTGGCGCTTATTTCAAATATCTGCACCTCACCGTTTTTACAGTGGAGGGTCCGAGGCAGTGTCCGAAATTACCCCGTGTTTTGGGGTAATTTCGGACACCTCTGGTAAAAACGACTTTTCGTTCTGATTTTGGTCCCAAAATCGATCACTGTCTCTTTTTAAAGTGCTAATATGATTATATGAGAAATTCGTAAGGGTTTGGATGTAAAGATATGGTAGGGGTGGTCATTCATACATAATTTGAAGTCATGTTTTGCACTCATATGTAGTTCGATTTCAGGAATAGTGAGAGCCATTTAGAACGCTTCTTTTTTTAAAAAAAATTTTTTGACCGATTAGCTTTTATAGGCAACTCGGGCCATACATTTTTACGCGAAAGTGAATCTTAAATCTTCCTCTACAAGATTACATACAATCACATACATGCATATGAAGGGCAAGAAGTCGTGGCGTATGTACGGTTAGGAAGATACAGGGGCTCAGTGGAAAGCTTTGCATTTCAATTGTAGTAAACCGGCGAGCTATGCAGCCATTCACCAAGACTAACTTTCATGTAACATGAAAGAAAATTAATCACAACCCGAGAGAAAATTATAGGCTGCAGATTGGCTGCAGGCTGGCTTCCTCCGGGTGCCTGAGAGCGCTCGGATGGATCTCGGATGGCTGCAGACATTGGCTGTATTCGGACATACGTCAGCCAAAATCCAGCCATCCACAGCCGCTGCAGCCTCTCTGGCTGCACCTGCCAGCCATTGAAGTGTCCCTTTGGAGCCGAGTCGGCCCTGCCCCCGCTGCTCTAGGCTGCACCCCGCAGCCTACGGGATGCTCTAGGCAGCCTTCCTTCGCGGACCACGCTGCCCCCAGCAGCCACGAGGCTGCGAGGCGCTGCTCTAAGCTGCACCCCGCAGCCTTCAGGATGCCCCAGGCAGCTTTCCTTCGCCCGGGCCACGCTGTCCCCGGAAGCCTAGAGGCTGTGAGCGCTGCTGTAGGCTGCACCCCGCAGCCTTCAGGATGCTCCAAGCAGCCTTCTTTCGCCCGGGCCACGCTGCCCCTGGCAGCTATGAAGCTGCGGGTCACAGCCACATCTCGGCTGCAACCTGCAGCTTCGTGGATGCCATCGGCAGCACCCATATCGCTACTAGGCTTCACTCCTTAGTACATGAAGGTCCCCATGACGACCTTTGAAGTTCTGTGGATCCTTTAGTAGATTTTCTAGGGTCCCAACACCGTTCCAGATCCAAATCCGTTAAGTAATTTCATCTAGGACTTTCCGTTCCCGAGATATCAAAGATAACAAAAAAGTGTCCCGATTTTTACGAAACTTGCATGGCTTATGTATGTTAACGTATTCAACTCAAATATCAGCATACCACGTACCCATTCTATTTTTTCTATTTTTTATAACCCTTTAATCAAGGGGTGCGCCTGAATACCGCCAGCATCCACCATGCTGCATCCGTAGCCTACAGCCATTGCAGCCTACGTGGCTGGAAAGTGCAGCCGCGGCCAGGCTGTCGCTGGCAGCCAGCACGCTGCGACGCGCAGCGTGCAGCCTACGGCCATTGCAGCCCGCCTGGCTGCGAAGTCCAGCCGCGGCCTGGCTGCCGCCAGCAGCCAACACGCTGCGACGCGCAGCCTACAGCCATTGCAGCCTTCGTGGCTGTAAGGTGCAGCCGCGGCCCGGCTGGCGCCAGAAGCCAACACGCTGCGACGCGCAGCCTACAGCCATTGCAGCCTTCGTGGCTGTAAGGTGTAGCCACGGCCCGGCTGGCGCCAGAAGCCAACACGCTGCGACGCGCAGCCTACAGCCATGGCAGCCTACATGGCTGTAACGTCTACGCGGCCCGGCTGGCGCCAGCAGCCAACACGCTGCGACACGCAGCCTACAGCCACTGCAGCTAAGTTGGCTGTGCGTGGCAGCGTTTATAGGCTGCTCCGGGCAGCCAGAAGGCTTCTGTGCGCAGCTTCTGAAGCGTTCCACAGCCAAAGCGCTCCGTGAAACAGCCAGACCAGCCATTGCAGCGTGCATGGCTGCAAGTCCAGGACATCGCTATGGCTGCGACATGGCTGCAACGCAGCCACGGCAGCCATGCATACAGCCAAAAAACGGTCCATACAGCCATGCGTCAGCCAAGCGTCAGCCTATCTGCAGCCTTCTATTTTTACTCGGGAAAACAGTCGTTGACACTAAGGTAGGATATGCACATAAAATTAAGTATTAAAGACGAAGCTTCGCCCCATTTACATGAAATTCGAAGTTTATAAAGCAACCGCTGTAGCAATTGGGGATTATCGTTGTTGTTGGATTATCTTTCACTTCCAGAAGAGCTCTTCAGCTTCCACCACTCAAACCCTGCGAAATAGAAAGTGTTCAGGACATACCCACTCTCCCTGGCGTGACGTTTGTATGCCCGAAATTACCCCGTAAAGTAACAATTTTTTAGTTTTGAGCCCATATAAACCAAACTATTTGACCCAGGAGATTGAAAATTTGACACAGTATGCTCTTAACATGATCGAATCGACAAACAATCCCCTCATGAACCGGCCATGAACAGTTTCGGCTTGCCAGTAAAAGTTTTCAAGCATAAAGCGAATTTAGGTAAAAATGGTTAAATACAAAAACCACTCTTTCTCCTGAAGTTTGCCCCTGATTTGGCCTCCGGGTGATTGATCAGATGGTTTTAAGGCGGGACCCCGGTGACCGTTCACCCGCGACGGCTAAAGGAACTTAAAAAGTGTATTGACGGGAGTCTCCTTTTGCGAATACTCCTTGCCATTTTCGTTCTGGTAATGTAGCACTTTGCCGAGAGATGGCACCACAGTCTGGTACTTCCAAAAAATAAAAGGGTCCTAGTTCTGGGTGGAAATCCCTATACCTGCCGTGCATTCTGGCCAGTGACGGACAGCGCGGTGCGTTTTGGCAGTGTCGATGGCCAGACAGTGCGGCGACAGTGCGGCGCGGCCGGTGCAGCCCGGGCCACGCCGTGCGCTCAAACAGATGTCATTGTCCGTCTCTGTCTCACCCGCACAGTGCAAGCGAGACGGCCGAGGCGGGGCATGGAGGGGGAAGCAGCGGCTGACCGGCGTGGCGCGCGGCTCACCCTGGAGTCCGGCGCGCTCCAGTTTCCAAATTTAAAATTTGAATGTGACTTCTGAGTTCTGGCGGTTGGGTACTATCAAATTCCTTTTTCTTTTACGGTCATTTTGACACCAGTTGAACAACGATTTGTAATCGGAGATAAAATTTCTCTTACGACCTTCAATTCCTCGCATCAGACAGCGTGGGTGGAACGTGTCACCCCTTTCCACTCACGAGGCCCCTTTTTTCCAAATTCTGGCCAGTGTGACGCGTGCAAGTCCTGGGGAGCTCGTTCGTGGCCTGGCTGGATCCAAGTCCGAGGCGGCCCGGCTCGCTCTCCAGGTCCTCGTCTGCGGCTCCGGCTTAGCGCGGGGGGAGAGGGGGAGGGGGACGCGGCGCGAACAATGCCCGGCTGCAGGTCAGCTGTCAGTCATAAATGTGTCGCCCCGCCTCCACCGGCCTGCACGGAGTTCCGATACTTTCCGCCGCGCCACCTTCCACAGCACCGCAAAACGACCGCCAAGTTCAAAACAAGGAAAATGCGGCAAAAACAGGGTCTCAGCAGATCAACTCGATCTCAAGAAGGGCTGGGCCTAGAAAAAAGTGGCTTACAGATTTCGAAAGGGGAGGCCAGGGCCTAGGTCAACATGTATATGGCGATTCTTGAAACAAACAGCAAGTGTCCGAAATGACTGGCTGAACATTGGTCAAAAATTTGACACCTTTTGACACCCGATTTTAAGGCTAAAATTTTGTGACACATGTTTCGCGCATACCTCTTGTCCTAGATCCTGACCTCCCCTTTCGAATTCTGTAACTGGTTTTTTTCTAGGACCAGTGGTTCTTCGGATCGAGTTGATCTAAATTTGAGTTTTTGAAAGTTCAATAACTTTGTTCAAAATTGAGCCACCTCAAAAATTTTTTGTGGCGCGTGTCCTTATTATGTCCTGAACCTGTGTGCCAATTTTCATCCCGATCCGATCCCTTCAAGTTTCACCCCGGTCCCGCCTTAAGTGTGGCCGATGCGATGCGCGCAACGGGACAAGCCTCCAAGTTGGCCGTTAGGTGGGAGCATCATCGCCATGCTTCCGGGCAGAGTTGTCCGAAATTACACCGAGTGTCCGAAATAACCCCGTTTCACGGTAACATGTGTCTGATAGATAAAATAATAAAGTTTCCGAATATCTTCTCAGAATCGTTCTACGTTCCATATTAGCTGAAATATAAGCATCGAAACTTTGAATTTATGGACGGGGGACATGCCGGAACGTTACGAAATGACCCTTTGGAGCACTTTATCGACATCTTCTGAATTGAAAAAGTGGTGACTTAAGATGGATAAGAGTGGGCGACGTCGAGCCCAACACAACGCACCAAACCGCATCACAATACGTTGAAAAATAACGATTATAGAGCCAAAAGACACAAAAGATACCCTTATTTTGGCAACTGCTCTTATCTGCTACCAAAATTTTCATAATGATGGACTTCTTGTCAGATCACTGTGAAATACATTAGCATTGGAATTTTTCGAATTTCCCGGCATTTTGATTTCTCTTTATTGCCAAGGTTAAATTTTGACGGGTGGCACATCGACCCGCATCGACCATATTGGTACCACTGACGTTCGTAGCCACCCTTGAGCCACCGCCTACCTTTTACATAATTTTTTTTGCTTTCCCCACACTCCTACCCAAATTGACTTCGTGACTCCTAGGATTCCTTGAAATCGTATTTTTTTGACAAGTTTCATGTCGTTTTCTACGTTTTGAAGGGTGCTGATGACGAAAATAGAACCCATTCTAACCCCCCGACCTAAAGATAAGTCCTTATAGTAAAGATTTAGATCACCACATTCTAATTTTAGTGGGGATCGCGCTCATATCAACGGTTTGACTAGGAAAGTAGCCTGCCGAAGGCAGGCTAGCGCCGCAGGCCAAGGTAGGTGTATATGCAGGCATGAATTGTCGAAACTGGCGCAGCATCGCGAAGCCTGTTACGACAGGACACGGTCTAGCGTACACCTTCTTTGTGGATAATGAGGGCTCAAGTGACTCACCGATTGATCGATTGCATCGTGACCAGCCATCCTGGAACGCCTAACACGCCGCAGCCGGCTATGCTCAAGGCCTGGATTGAGACAAAGGATGACTCCTAGAGTAAATGGCACTCGGTTGACCTGAAACGAAAGCAAGACTCCAATCAGGAACAAAACGAACACACAGTGAGAAAAGAGCTCTTGGCAAGTAGCAGAGGGCCGCGGGTCCATGGCATTGTCACTCCCTTTTTTTTCGTCCCGTTGACAATCGAGTGACCATCTGACAGAGAACAACGCACAGTGGGCTAAAACACCCTTTTGGGCGCTCAAAACCTATATTTCAGCCATTTTTGATCGTATATGTCCCAAATTTGGTACAGACCCTCTTTTGGTCTTACTTTATGAGATTTTGAACAAGCGGTGGCAAGTGTGACCTTATCTCAGCCGTGGTTCACCGAAAATTGATTTAATATAATCGTATTTTTATTTTGTATATTTCTGAGTCTGCGGGAGCACTCTCTCTTTCCAAATCAATGCAAAACATATTGTAGGTTTTTTTTTTAAATGTTAATTGCAGACGAAACAATTGAAAACCGCTTAAAGAAGTCAAAAACATCACTTAAATTATATGGACGTTCTTAAAAACAATACTGTAAAAAATCATGGTTACAGATTTTATAGCAACTGTCAAACTTCAATTTCCTGAAGTCCATTTTTAAATGATATACGTATCATTTAACTCTTCATGGAACAGTAACATGGAAGGCTCATTAGCCTGGTCATCAAAGAGGTCAACTAAAAGTGAAAGAACTGTGGCACACATTTTTTAAGACTTGGCTTTAGGTTTTTTTCCCTGAAAGAGCAGATCACAGGATGAAATGAAACAACATTGCAGTCAGAAGATCTGCATTCCCATCAATTCTGTTGCACGGGTGGCCTTTTCTTGAGGGTTAGTTGTAGAGAAGGGGCAGGGGGGCTGGGAAAAGGAGCCAAATAACACGTGAAAAGATAAGGGACGGTTGGGATGGAGACACGGTTGCTTGGATTCTTTCTTCGTGGGACGCATTTTCTACCGAAAACGGGGAAATTGCCAATTTTATAATGTTTCACAGCCGTGTATTACTGTTTGCGCAAATATGCGCAGGTTTTCTCTGTTGATCCTTTCAAATGACACATAGGTTGATAATTTCCAGCGCTGAAACCTGCTTGATAGTGCTTGATTCTATAGTAAATCTCAAACTTTTGTCTTTAAATTAAAAATTATACAAATAAAGCGATTTTATGCACACCAACACCCTTCAAATTATCGCAGGAAGATAACTCGGGTATCATTTTGAACGGGAATACTTGTTCTTTAAAATGGAACCACCGGAGGTTCAAAATCTAGACGCAAAGCCGTCAAAATCGCTGTGGCGTTTTGTTGCATTTTTTACTAAAAATAACACATTATTACAAGTTTTAACTTTGACGGCCTGTAGTGGTCGTAGTTTTGGTCTGACAACAAAAATACGACCAGATTTGAAATCTGCGGAAAATTTCCTATCCGATGGAGAACAAGTTTGCCCGTTTAAACGATTTTCAAGAAAGAGGTTTTGAGCGCCTAAAAGGGTGTTTAGCCCACTGTGCAACGTGGCCTTAAAAGGGAATCACACGGTAGATACGCTGTGATGTACGAATGCCACACAATAGAGTACTTTCGTAGAATCCTGAACCGGAAGCAAGCAGACCAGCAGACGCCAAATTGGCCGGAAACTAACCTCTCTTCGGATCCAACACTATAGCCGAGCTGTACAAATATTGCTCGCGAAACACATATGCACTGCAAACAAGTATCAAATGACTGTTTATGTTCAAGTGTGGCCGATACCTTTGACGAACGTCTCTTTGGATCTACTTCCGCCAACATGGCGTCTGTGTGCTTCCGGTTCAGGGATCTACGAAAGTACCCTGTTCGTCCCCAGTAGAATAGTTGTGTCTTGAGTGTTTTTTTGTCCCCATTCAACTCTACACTGCAAACCCAACTGTCTACTTAGCACGCACTTACACATACATGCTTGCAAGTTCATACTTACAAACGCATGCTTGGCCAAGCATGCACTAACAAATGCATCCTTGGCAAGTTCACACGTACAACAGCATACTTAGCGCCTAATAACTCGATGCTACGCATATGTATTGGAGTGTACTTGCCAAGCATGCGTTTGTAAGTGAGTACTTGCAAGCATGCATTTGTAAGTTGGTGCTAAGTAGACAGGTCTGTAATGTACCCCGTGCCGACGATTTCGTGGCGATACTCCTCCGCGCACTCAGCTAACGTTACGGTGTGAAACGAGGAAGGGTCAGGCCCAGCGTACATTGCGGAACGTTACGGGGAGAGGGGGGCACGCCCAGCGTAACACCGCGTAACATGCTGGGACGGGACGGGGACAAGGGGTACAAGAGAAAGGGACCTCACGAGCGTTATGTTATTACTGAACGGCCCCTTACGCACTCAGAATGAGGTAGGTTTTATCAGCTGCACGCTCTGATGAAGATGATCCTATCAAGCGAAGACAGAAGATGAACGATTTATTGTACTTACATGGATGGAATGGATCCCACACCGGAAGGCTGCAGTCGCCCGGGGAGTGCGAGAGGACCTTGACAAGCCACTTAGCGCTGCAGCTGCAATAGGGTACTTACGTAGATCGTGAACCGGAAGCACACAGACGCCATGTTGTCGGAAGTAGACCAAAACTTGACATGGGAAAGAGACGTAGTCAAACGAATCGGCCACACTTGAACATTAAGAGCCGTTTTATACTCATTTGCAGTGCATACGTGTTTCACGAGCAGTATTCGTACAGCTCTGTCCTAGTTTTAGATCTGAAGAGAGGCTACACTGGGAGAAATAATGAAGATTGGGGCTGTTAAACCTAATGCCACTCTCCATTGTTTGCCAAAAGAAGGTGTAAGGAACGGCGTTCACTGTATCCTGGGAACCCGCATCCGCTGTACCTTGGACACTGTTCAGACATCAGACACGGCATTCAGTAAAACTGTAAGATAAAGGCGAAATTCAAAAATCCCGATAAGAACGTTTCGATGACGAAAGTGAATTCATCTCAACAAGACAAAGAAAAAATGATAGGCATGTTGTGGGCTCAAACTCGAAATTCAACAGATATCGGCATCAAAAGTCCAAAAAAGTAGGATTTTGGACCTTAATTTGCTGAGTCCGATGTTTTGGAGTCCAAAATCCTACTTTTTTAGACTTCTGATCACGATTCCCACTGAATTATCAGTCTGAGACCATAATATGCTTATCATTTTTTGTTCGCCTTGATAAGATGAATTCACTCCCGTCATCAAATCGTTTCTTTCGTGATTTTGAAATTTCGCCTTTATTTTACAGTTATACTGAATGCCGTGTCTGAACAGTTTCTAGGGTACAGCAGATGCGGGTTCCCAGGATACAGTGAACGCCGTTCCTTCAGGCAGGGTGTCTACTGTATGCCAGGGTACGGTGAACACCTTCTTTCGATGAACGGTGGGGAGTGGCATTAGGTTTAACAGCCACAATCTTCATTATTTCTCCCAGTGTAGTTTCCGGCCAACATGGCGTCTGCTTGCTTCCGATTCTGGATCCACGATGCTCGAAAGTACCCTATCCCTATGGTGACACGTTGAAGTATCTTGCGACGATGTGATAGGTTACTGCTGAGGAAACCTAGACCGGAAGTCAACGTCAAAGCGGGAGAAACAAAAGAGCGTCGCGCGGCTGTGCTGAGGGGTGGAGGGGGAAATCAGCGGAGTGGGGGTGAAGGCGGCGCGCGCACGCTGCCCCCACTCTGTCCATCCGGTCCCCCACCACCGCTCAGCACGCTGACGCCTCGCTCAATAGTTCCTTCCGTTGTGTCACTGACTTCCGGTCACGATTTCCTCCGAAGTACCGTATTGAGTGTCACAGCCGAAGGTGGGTATTGTTACGAATCCGTCGACCGGAAGTAAAAGATCAATCGGGAGGAGTAAAACCGCTTCTGCGCATGCGCAGGCGTCCACTCTCCACACGTAGCCAGTGTCCGCGCGTGCTTCAACGTGCTTGCAGTTCTAGCTTTTGGTTCTTTCACTTCCGGTCCAGGGATTCGTTTAGGTCATCTATTGGGAGTGAGATTCGTCTCACCAGAGCTTATTTGCATCGTATTCGTGCCGCTTGGCTCCACTTCAACATCTCGAGGAAGGTTAGACCTCGCTCAATGAGCAAAGGTTCAACATAGAGCAATCTCTCCGATTCCGTTCCACGATGCGCGTTCCTTGCTAGGCACTTATACTTACCTCCCTGCAGGAAGGAGCCAGTGTACTTGCCGTCTCTTCAAACCATGACACTCGAACCCATATACTATACCTAGGCAGCTTAGGTGAGAGGGTCAGTGCGGACTTCTTCCATGTAAATGACATTTTGAATCTCATCTGTGATCTAACATGCTTCCTTCCTACCTCATTCACACGAATGCGCAGCAATCTAAAGTAAACTTCAACAAAGTACGTGTGAAAAACTAGCCGGTAGACGCTGGGTGCCAATTGAAAGAATTCGCGTAGTTAGGCGACCGGGGTGCGAGACTGCAGAAGATTGAATGGCGCGAAATACGAAGATTGCATGATCGTTTGACAAACGACGCTCGGCGAACGGTAATCGTAATTCAAGATTTCTAAATACCCCTAGGTAACTCACCTAAGTGAGACGTGCTGGTCCATCGCATGTTCTGAATACTGAACGACTGTTTGCCTCCGCTTCCGGTCTCTCTTCAGGGAAGATCATACCGGCTAGCCTTAGCGGAATAGGGAACTCCCGATCCCAATCCACAGTTGAGAGGTTTACTTTGTTATGCAGAGACATGTTAGAACATCCCCTCTCCCCGTTGAGCAGCGTGACCCTTAACCTTTCGCTAAACACATTGCACATGGCAGCAGAAGAGTTTTCGTTTCTACAAGATTGAGCTCAAAAGTAAAATCTCTATAGGGAATTTTAACGAGAATCCCTGGACCGGAAGTCAAAGATCAAAATGAAGAACTTAATCAGCTTTCAGCTTCTGCGCATGCGCAGAGGAGGTTTAAGTTCTTCCTTTTGTTCTCTGACTTCCGGTCTCGGGATTTAATGAAATAGCCCATCCGAAGCAGTGGATTATAGACCATTCTAGTCGTGGCTGAATGAAGATCAAGAAGAATCACAAAAGACTGCATTTAGGGTATTTAAAGTGCACATTTTCGCTTCAAATAAGTTCAATTTACTAGAAAATATTTTTATTAACTACTACCAATCAAGGGGACTAATATATTTGAAGTTATAGTTCTAAAGAGTACACTTTTGTTATTCTTCTTGTTCTTCACTCGGCCACGTCTAGAATGGTCTATTGCCCGGCCCTGACGGGCTGTGAGAGGGGCTAATTGGGTTCTTCGGTTAAAACCTAGACCGGAAGTCAGCGACAGACACTGTGGCAACAAGGTACGGAAAATTCTGTTAATTTTTTTGCCAGGATTCTCCGTAGCCCCCTCATCAATATTCTCCGCAGGCTCTTACAGTATTCTCCGTAGCCCCCTTGTCAATATTCTCTGTAGGCTCTTACAGTATTCTCCGTAGGGCCTGGAAAGTCCTACGGAGATCACTGTAAGGTCCTACGGAGAATACTGTAAGAGCCTACAGAGAATATTGACAAGGGGGCTACGGGGAATTACCACAAGCTGTTAACAGAATTTTCTGTAGCTTTTTGCCACAGTGGAACAGGAGGAACTAAAGAGCGTCGCGCGGCTTTCCTGAGCTGTAATGGGGGTCTTGTACTTAGCAAGTACACGCGAACCTGAAGTGTACATGCATGTACACGCCAGGTGGAGTGTACTATGTACGCACTTGAGTTTGTAGAGCAGATTCTTCTACGATACCTATGTGGACCCCCCTCCCCTTTTGCAACTGAAAATTCATTCCTAAGTTCATACCTTGACTAACAGTGGGCGACTGCAGCCCACATCCTCGGTTGGTTCCAGACTCGCGGTTGACCCGGACGCGTCGTTGAGCGGAACGCACCGTACCTGCCTGCTGTTTTGCGGCATCAGTGGAGGAAGTCAGCTCCAAGAGTCTAACCGTGCGGACACCGGTGTGAGCGGACTTCAGCTGACCTGAGCGCCTGCCTCTTCAAGCCATCGTCATGTACCCCGAGGTGAGTCGCGATATGTTCTTATTATATTTACTGCCGTGAAAGTAGAACCGACTTTTCCCGGAAACCGTTGAGATGGACCGATGGTTCAGTAAGGGAGGGTGGGGAACCATGACCACTTACTTTTTGTGCTTTCCTCTACTCCACTGTGTGGTTCGAAAAGTTAAGTTTACAGCATGAGGGGGATTCTTTGACCTCCAAGGACCTCTTCTCCCCATTGGAACTTGTCTGCAATGCACGGCAGGCCTACAGAACACTTTGGAAAATAAAACGCGGTCATGGCGCCCTATATATGGGGTACCATGACCACCCCGTGGGGCACTATGACCATAGTAATTTTTCGGCCCAAGAAGTGTACTTTCTACCAGTATTCTCATTGACATTGTTAATATAGCTGTCCATACCATCAGGCCAGTCAACTTAACAATAAAACACTTCTAAAACCTTCGAAGTTTTAAACGCCCTAACATGCCTTAAAATGGACGGTTTGAACAGTTAACGCTCTAAGGCTTTCAAATTTCACATCCAAAGCCATGACATGTGTTAACATTTCATGTTTGTCTTGCTAAGCCGAATCCAAATTCGTATGCAGATTTCAATTTGGTAAATTTTATGGAAATTATCGCGGTTACTACACTGCAAACAAGTGAAATAAATGCTGTTTCTCATAATGCCAGAGCCGTCTTGGTTCAAAGTAGCCACGGATCGCTTTCGCGGCCAACTTTTGCGGTTTGGAGCTCATTTAGTGCTAGAGAAACTTCCATATCAAGTCTCAGTTTCAGAACCATTCTTAATCATCCTGGTGATTCACGAATTGTGATGAAACTATCGATCCTGCAGCAATTATTCCACCCTTGTACATTTTCTGAAGCAAAAAGCAAATTTTTGACGAAAATAAATCATTATTATCATTATTAAATGAGAAAAACACTCAAATATGTATGGTCATGGTACCCCACTATAAAGTGGTCATGGATCCCCACAATGCAGTTTACGACACTTAAGGCTCCCCGAGTAAGCTTAAAGCTTTTAAAATTAAATGTGATGATGGATATTTTGCCTGAGAGCCGACATTTTGAGAAAAACCTAAGACATCGAACTTACCTCCTCAAATGCAAGAGTGAGAAAAAATATCCCAGATTTGAAATATGCCCAATTTGGCGAAAACGCTGTTTAGCGAAAATTTTGGCGAGGTGCTATGGTTGTGCCCTTGAGGTGAGAAGGTAGAGCCCTGGTTGAAAATAGTAAGAATCCGATTCTCTCGAAAGTCCCGTGGATCTATTGCCGTCGGCTAAGTAGTTCCCGAGTGCGAGGGGGGTGGTCAGTGGTCATGGTACCCCACCCTCCCTTACACTGCAAACCTAACTGTCTACTAAGTACTCACTTACAAATGCGTGCTTGCAAGTACACTGTTAGAAATTCTGTCGTAAATTAGCGACATAAAAGTCGCTAATTTTAATAGCGACGGAAATTGTTCTTCAACTACTTTGTCTTTACTGAACGACTAAAAAATCATTTCTCTACGACAATGTCGTAATCACGGTTACATATTTTGACACCTAAATTCCCCGAAAATTTGGTGAAAAGTTACAATTTGGTCACTTATTTACGATTTGTGTCGTTCATTTACGATTCATAACACGAATTTACGACAAGAGTCGTAAATGTACGACTGAAGTCATGACTGCACGACATATTCGAAAGATAATTTACGATTGTTCGCAGACTTCGTAAATTTACGACTTAATTTGTTCTAAAACGAAACGTGTCGCTATCAAAATTAGCGACAAATATGTCGTACATTTACGATTCAAGTCGTATATTTACGACTTGAGTCGTAACAAAATATGTTGTTTAAGGGGGCAGTCTCGTCCCTGTACCCTTTTTTAGGGGGGTTTTCCCCCCCTCTTTTGATGACGACGATTTTTTAAATATACCTCTTAGAGACAAACGGTAAAAACCAAATGAAAGAACGGAATTTTTATAACATTTTCAAAAAAAAATATTTTGTTTTGTGTTCAGTTGTAAGGGAGTTGTAGGGAATGCAACAAAAGCCGACAAAACATACAAAATTTCACTGCGCGACATTTTTCTCCGGAAGTTCTTAACTTTTTGGCAATCGGTTTGCGGCATCTTGAAGATGAAAAAATCCTCTTTACTTTAACCTACAATCGTCCATATAGCCCAAGGATTACACTTTTTAAAACGTAACGAAAAATCTATACAAACTTAGGAACGGTTTAATTTAGGTTTTAGGGGCGTTCCACGTCAAACCATCATGGTCCAAAACGTACTTGCTCAGATCCGGCCCCCAATTTTTTATCTGGTGGTGTACCACCCAAAGACCACTCTCATAAATTTTTTTGAAAAAAAAAATCAGAACTTTGGCCGCAGTGATTTTTTGAAACTTGAAAAAAAAATATATAAATTTTTTTTTTAGTTTTTTTTAAAATTGTGTATCTAGGTGCTCAAATGGGTTGAAAACAGTAAAGGGCAACATAAAATAGTGAAAAAAAAAATTGGGACCCCCAGCCCTTACCAGAAACAAAGTTTACGATAAAAAAAACCACGGTTTCTTGAATTCCCAAAATACGCCGTCTCACTTTTGGACCATATTGACATCAAAGGACCCCAATGAGGTACTCTAACTGTCACTAAAAAATTAGAGACGGCAATCCATAAACACCAGAGATATTGTCAAAAAACTCTAAAAGTTATCGAAGGTTATCGAAGCTTTTTGCCCCAAAATTGTCAAAATGGGACCTATATTGGTTCCGCTGAGGCACTGTGCATTGAAATACTATTCAATTGTCTGTCTTAACACCATGGAAGATGTGAGAGAGGTAAAGGTCAGCATTACAAGAGTTTTGGAATTACACGGCAATAAGTTTTTTTAATTATAATAACCAAATGCGACAAAATGCATTGTTTGGCAGTCGCCAACCGAAGCTCATTGATTGGTGGGGACTTCATCCAAGCCATCTTCACCTTGACCATGCAACTGCTGGAGACTTAAAAGAAGAAAATGAAGATGACCCGGATGAAGTCCCCACCAATCAATGAGCTTCAGTTGGCGACTGCCAAACAATGCATTTTGTCGCATTTGGTTATTATAATTAAAAAAACTTATTGCCGTGTAATTCCAAAACTCTTGTAATGCTGACCTTTACCTCTCTCACATCTTCCATGGTGTTAAGACAGACAATTGAATAGTATTTCAATGCACAGTGCCTCAGCGGAACCAATATAGGTCCCATTTTGACAATTTTGGGGCAAAAAGCTTCGATAACCTTCGATAACTTTTAGAGTTTTTTGACAATATCCCTGGTGTTTATGGATTGCCGTCCCTAATTTTTAGTGACAGTTAGAGTACCTCATTGGGGTCCTTTGATGCCAATATGGTCTAAAAGTGAGACGGCGTATTTTGGGAATTCAAGAATCCGTGTTTTTTTTATCGTAAACTTTGTTTCTGGTAAGGGCTGGGGGTCCCAATTTTTTTTTTCACTATTTTATGTTGCCCTTTACTGTTTTCAACCCATTTGAGCACCTAGATACACAATTTTAAAAAAACTAAAAAAAAATTTATATATTTTTTTTCAAGTTTCAAAAAATCACTGCGGCCAAAGTTCTGAATTTTTTTTCAAAAAAATTTATGAGAGTGGTCTTTGGGTGGTACACTACCAGATAAAAAATTGGGGGCTGGATCTGAGCAAGTATGTTTTGGACCATGATGGTTTGACGTGGAACGCCCCTTTTCCTTGGGCTACATGGACGATCGTAGGTTAAAGTAAAGAGGATTTTTTCATCTTCAAGATGCCGCAAACCGATTGCCAAAAAGTTAAGAACTTCCGGAGAAAAATGTCGCGCAGTGAAATTTTGTATGTTTTGTCGGCTTTTGTTGCATTCCCTATAACTCCCTTACAACTAAACACATAACAAAATATTTTTTTTTGAAAATGTTGTAAAAATTCCGTTCTTTCATTTGGTTTTTACCGTTTGTCTCTAAGAGGTATAATTAAAAAATCGTCGTCATCAAAAGAGGGGGGGAAACCCCCCTAAAAAGGGTACACGGACGAGACTGCCCCCTGAAAAACGACAATAGTTCTACAAAATGTCGTAAATTTACGATTATTTTAACAGTGTACGCACTTACAAACGCATGCTTGGCCAAGTACACACTTGCAAATGCATGCTTGCAAGTACACACTTACAAACGCATGCTTGACGCATGGAGTTATACGGCGTCAAGCATGCGTTTGTAAGTGTGTACTTGCAAGCATGCATTTGTAAGTGTGTACTTGCAAGCATGCATTTGTAAGTGTGTACTTGCAAGCACGCATTTGTAACTGTGTACTTAGTAGACAGTTAGGTTTGTTGTGTACTTACGCCAGCATCCTTGCTGCAGCTGGGCAACGACGTAGTGGGTGCCGTCTTGCTCCTGACACTAAGGGCAGGTCCCTGAAATAAAAACAAAAAGCAATATTCTAAATATTTTAGCTGTCAAAAGCTCAGTTAAGAAATAAATTAAGTAGTTGAAAACTGGCAGCCTTGATCAATGAAAATCAGTTAAGAACAAAACTCAGTATAAGTGCAACTGCTGCAAAAAGTAACACACACTGTTAAAAATAATCGTAAATTTACGACATTTTGTAGAACAATTATGTCGTTTTTAAACGACATATTTTGTTACGACTCAAGTCGTAAATATACGAGTCGTAAATTTACGACATATCTGTCGCTAATTTTGATAGCGAGACGTTCCGTTTTGAAACGAATTAAGTCCTAAGTTTACGACTTAATCGTAAGTTTACGAACGATCGTAATTGATTTATGGAATATGTCGTGCAGTTATGACTTCAGTCGTACATTTACGACTCTTGTCGTAAATTTGTGACATGAATCGTAAATAAACGACACAAATCGTAAAAAAACGAGCAAAATTGTAACTTTTGACCAACTTTTCGGGGATTTCAGATTCCAAAATATTTAATCGCGATTACGACATTGTCGAAGAAAAACGATTTTTTAGTCGTTCAGTTACGACGAAGTAGTTTGAGAACGATTTCCGTCGCTATCAAAATTAGCGACATTTTCGTCGCTAATTTACGACAAAATTTCTGACAGTGCATACACCATCATTTATTCCTCACCTCAAAAGTAGAGCTTTTATGTAATACAGCCCCTCTTGGCTGAACCAGATATTGCCTTTTTTTAGTGGCGGGTCTTTTTCATTAAAATCCTATGAATGAATAATGGGGCAGCACAATTAACAAGGTAGGTTTACGCCAGACCGCGTCTTGTCGTAACAGGCTTCGCGATGTCTCGCTGCCTGTTCCTCCAATCCACGCCCGGCGTACCTACCTTGGCCTGCGGCGCTAGCCTGCCTGCGGCAGGCAATGGCTTGTCCGTTGTCGGTTATTTTTTAACTTGTTGTATGCTGGGGGGCTCTGCCCCTAGACCCCCCTACATTCTAAATAGAGTTGTTTCATCTATAGATAACACTATCTTGACCCTTGTCACTTTAACTTGTCGAGGCTGGGGCCCCCCAGACCCCCCTTTCTCCAAGCCAGAAGTGATCTATCTGCAGAAAGCTCTATTTTTCGCCGTTTTTTAGGTGTTTTTCGGCTATAAAAACTGAACCAGTCGAGCTAGGATGGTGAAATTTCGCGTGTGCCGAGCCAAGGACATACCTAAGAAGTGTGCAAAATCTCACCGAGATCAGCCGAGCCGTTCAGGAGGAGTAGTGCGGACACACACGCATACACGCACACACGCACACAGACAGGAAAAACTTTTCAACCCCACCTGAGTAACGGGCTTCGCTATCGCTCAGCCAATAATACAGATTAGTTTGCAGTGATACTCACTGAGTCACAATTTGGCTCCTAGTCTATGGTACTTTGGTATGATAAGAGAAGCCCTTAAGTTGAACAATTGGGAGGCTTAAAGACAGCGAAGCTTTCGCTTTCAGCAAATGATACTGTGACATTTTATTATCACATCCCAATATTTTGTACCTGTACCTGTGCACAAGGGGCCACGCGATCAAATCTCGGCGAGGCTGAATCCTGGGGGATACTATTGGCGACGCAAGATCTCCCAAACAGTGTGGCAGTGATGCGCTTGTTTCCTTTGTCGACAGCTGCTGGTCCTGTCGGACGACTCGTTGCTGACGGTGCTGTCGTACCTGCCGCCCAGGGAGCTCATTGGCTGCCGCCTGCTGTGCCGACGCCTCCGCGACCTGTGTCTCCATCGGGACCTGTGGAAGAAGGCCGTGGTGCGTGGGCGGGGCCTGGTGCGCGCCGCACTGGCCCTGGCGCCGTGCGTGTCAGCCCTGATCGTGGACAGCGGGTTGCCTCTCGAGGTGCTGGCCTCTTACGTGCCCAGCACCACATGCGTCGTCGCCGCGCTTCACCTGGGAGTAGGCAATCAAACCGAAGCGTTGTTCGCCGCGCTCATCGTCCAGAAGCTCTCGGCTCTCGGTGGTCTCAAGATGATCGCCCTGAATATTGACCACTCTTTCCCTCCGGGAGACACGCTGACTCCACTCCTGCAGGCGGCCTACAACATCGATGGTCTGAAGGAACTTCAAATCGACAACAACACTGAGAAAGCCCTGCCGGCTGCGTGGTGCGAGCGTCAGGTCAGCCCTTCCATGACCAAGCTCCTGTACTTGGGACCCTCCGCGGGGCCCTTCCTGGAGCTGCTTCTACGAACCCACGCGGCCACTCTCCAAGACGTGTCTCTGTATCTGACGGAAGGTACCCCGGTGTCTTTTTTGGAGAAGATTCCTGGCTTGCGACATTTGGTGTGTCACCCGCACGAAGATCTATCCCGGCTGTCGAAACTGCCCGAACTGCAGACTTTGGACCTGGCAGAGTCGCCTGACGACGAGCCATTCGTCGCTGGTGCACTGGAACTACTCCGTCAGGCGTCGCACCTGCGGACCGTGACTTTCTGTTTCACGTGGGTACAGCCGCTCGCTCCGCTGTCGGCACTTGTGGAATCCCCCTCTGCCCGACTCGTGGAAAACCTTGAGCTGTGCAGCGCGAGGTGGGCGGACTTGGACGTGGTGGCGGCTGCTCTACCGCAGTTTCCCTCCCTGCGTACCCTCTCTCTGGACATAGTGCCGTCGTATGACTTCTTGCGGGCAGTGAGCCCCACTTCTGCGCCGTCCCTGACGACGCTCAAAGTGTACCCCTCCCGGAGACTGTGCCTCCACGCCTGGCTTCACGACCCGGCCAATCAAGATCTCCTGGCGAGGAATGCCCGCCTTCACCTGCAGCCTATTTTTCCACAGTCCGTTTCGACCGTGACGATCTCCGACAAGTGCGAGTGCCAGTGGTGCCGTTGGGGATGCCACAGCTCACTGAGGGGCCCCATCAGCGCAGACACCTCGTTCGCCACGCACGGAAAGATGTCTTCCTGCCCGACTGGCTGCTTCCAGATTTGACCGTGCGGTGACTATGTACTCTTATTGATTCAAGGTTTTTACTCCTGTTGACGTAACTTACCAATAAAACCGTCACTTTGCCAAGACTCTTTCGTACGTCTTAATCATTTGTTTCTCGCACTATTCAGAAGGCAGTAGCACTTTGTGCACGCTTTTTCATTGTTTTACGATTTTTCTGTTTGCACCTCAATATAAAAATGCTTGCATGAATGCTAGAGACAAACAGCGGGAACCATGTTAAAGATCGAACTTTTTACAACAATTTCAAGAAAAAAAAAATTATTTTGTTTTAGCATTAAGTGAGGCATTTATATGAAGCACGTAAGAAATGTCTGCAAAATTATACATGGTGTCACTGCGCACGATTTCAGCCCAAGTTTTCAACCTTTTTTCAGTCTGTAAAGTGCATCTTAAAGAGCATAAGGATTGCTTACAAAATGAACCACGAGGGTTAATACATTGTGGCAAAAAGGTAAGGAAAATTCTGTTAATTTTTTTTTGCCAGGATTCTCCGTAGCCCTCTCATCAATATTCTCCGTAGGGCCGTACAGTCTTCTCCGTAGCACCTGGAAGACTGTATAGTCCTACGGATAACACTGTAAGGTCCTACGGAGAATACTGTAAGAGACTACGGAGAATAAGGGGGCTACGTAGAATTGTCACAAGCTGTTCACAGAATTTTCCGTAGCTTTTTGCCACAATGTATAAGACGAAAATACTACTTAATAGGCAAGAAAAATTCATTCATGGGAAAATTTGTGAAAAATCACCTTTTTCTACCAGTGTTTTTCGTCTGATTTGAACCCCCAACGTTCATTTTGTGGGCAATTTAATATCCCCACGGTAAAAGTGCCGCCTTGGAATCCAAGGGGATGTTTGGGTTTATTACCAAGGGGTTTGAGTGAATTTTCCTAGTGGTTTAAATCAAGATCTTTCAGAGATGGCCTTGTCTCGCCAAGACGAACTAAAAATGCCTACACATGTAATAGGTTTGGATGGGAAATGAAAAGGCTATTAATCAACAAACTTTGTAAAATGGTCCAAAAATGACCTTTTTAGTACTTTTGAGGCTCAATAACGTTTGCATTTCCCATCCAAACCTGGATGTGAAGACATTCTAGTCGAGACGAATCCAATTCTGTAGGAATTAAGATCTTGATCAGGACTACTTGGAAAATTCACTCAAAGCCCTTAACGAGACATCTCCTTGGATTTCAAGGCGGTACTTTTACCGTGCCATCCCCGTTTGCGCCAAAATGCATGTGATTGAAGAAGCCACGACGCCATTCTGGACTGAAAATGCTTCTTTTCTTGAGGTCTTGAGAGAAAAAACGTTTGAACGATGTGGAGCGACAGATATAGAAGCAATATCACTAATCAGTTTTTGGCTATTTTCAGTGTCATGTCTCCTTAAAATTTATCAAAGGGTCACTTTTTTCACATTACCTTAAGTAATCTTCATCGAAGTCGCTGCTTCTGAAAGAACTCTTCGCTCCAGTCAGCCGGTGTTTTGTCAAGTTGGCGGTAGCCCCAGACGGTGCGAACGGCAGGGACGCAACCATGGCGTGCTCATGTCACGCCTTGAACAGTTTGAACTACACTGAACAAAAAGGGTGAATAGTACAACAAATAAAGTACAACAAAAACTGTTCAAAAAAGTACAACAGGGATTGTATGTGGAAAGTACAACGAGGATTGTACAAATAACAACGAGGCACGGTACAAACGGTTCCTGGTTTTCCCAGGAACTCCCTGTTCCTGGGAAAACCAGGAACCGTTTTTACCGTGTGGACTGCTCAGCACTCCACTGGCAGCCGACGAATGTGCAGGGATCCTTAACTTAACTCAACATTTAACTAACACTGCTGTCATAACGTAACATAAGACAATGTTCACTGTAGGTTAAGGGTACGGACTTATGAGAGTACTTGCAAAAGTATATCCACACAAATTCGAGACATAAAAAAATAACTTACCCTTTTGAAATGACGTTAGAAGTTAAGGGTAATAACTTAAACTCTTGTGATAACGTTATGATGCCCTTATGAGGTAAGTTAAGGATCCCTGCGAATGTGACGTCACGTTCGTTTTCACGTGAAAACAGCAATGTTGGTTTGAGCGTGACAAACGGTGAAAATTTACAGTCAAACGACTGTGACACACCGCACGGTTTGTTCACATTACTTCGGGTGTGACACGTAATCAGCAGGCGAACTGTCACATTCAAACGAATGTGACACCCATGTGTCACGTTCGTTTGAATGTGACATGCCCGAATTGTCACATTAAAACGAACGTGACACTCCATAATCTGACAATTATGGCGTTGTCAAATTCGTTTGGATGTGACATGACATGTGTCCATTGGGTACCAGGTGTCACATTCGTTTGAATGTGACAGTTCGCCTGCTAATTGCGTGTCACACTTAAAGTAATGTGATCGAGCGGTGCGGTCTGTCACGTTCGTTAGGGTGCGTCGTCCAGAGGACACTTTCGATATCAGAGTTTGAAGACCCCTAGAAAGTTTCGTTTTTTTGTGCTGATTTCGGAACTGACCTCGGTTTTTCGATCGGAGTTAATCTTCTTGGTCCTACCGGCCAAAATGTACCAAAAAGCGGCAGTTTCTGAAAAAAATGTTCAAAAAGGCGATTTTTCAGCCTCAATTCTGTGTTAAAACGTCCCGGAGTAATTCTGATGGTTGTTGTCACACTGTAAAAAATTAGTTCGTAAATTTACAAACAATTTATGGGTAATTTCGTTGCACAAATTATCTGTAAATTTACAACGTCTTTTTGTTTCTTAACGATTTATGAATTATTCTTCACGCAGTAATTTGTAAAATTACAAACCTTTTACACGCTCAAAATGACGTGGACCGCTTTTGTTCTACCTTGTCACGCTGATGAAATGGAGATTAACTTATTTCAGCGTTTTTGTTTTGTTTTATGAAACATCTTGTAAAATGATGAAGGCATCACCATATCTCGTAATCTTACAAGCGATTTGTGCAACGGAATTACCCAAGCATTTGTTGTAATTTTAGGAAACTTTTCATGTTTTTGTGACATTGTAGTAGTATTTTAGTCACGTTTGAGATGTATTTTGTTCGTACCATTTCATGAGCCGGTGTTCACGAACAAATTTCATAAAATTAAGAAGATTTCTGTGATGAATAATTCATAAAACGGCCTCTACGAATACATTTCATAAAATAACGAAATGTTATTGTTACTTTACAGAGAATTTGTAAAAAAAAAATTCGTAAATTCACAATAATTTTTTACAGTGCAGTGCCAATGGATATACACAACACCAAAAAAAATATGAGAGCGAACTGGAACCTATCTAGCGGATATGCCGGGGCCTGCAATGAAAAAAAATTGTGAAAAAAACTCCCTTAAACGACTATTTTTGGCCCTCAGAGACCCCCCAGCGTCCGAATTTTGGTGCCCTATGCGGTCAAAATGTTGGGTACTATCAAAGGCAAGAACGAAACGTGAGCGGCGGAGGGCTGGGACGCATTTCAGCTTTCGCGCAGCAGCGGGAAGCATTTTTAGGAAAAACTGAAGAAACACCAAAAAGCGCTTTTTGGAATTTTTTCGGTTTTTCGCCGGCCCAAAACCCCTACTAGGGGAAAAACTGCTTCGGCAGTTTTGACCTTCGAAGGTGCCCCCCTGTGGGGCATATGGGCCCCATAACTCTGCTCATAATAACCTAATATCCGCATTGCAGCAGCAGCACCCGCTTGTAACACTACTCCGATTAAATTAATCTTCTTATTTTAGGTATCTACAGCGACGCAGGACAAAAGACACCGTGTGAGGTATCCCTTGGCCCCACGTGGGGTCAGAAATCGAACTTCTAGACCAATGCTGATAGAAACGTCGTTCTTTTTTCTTTTACTTCAACTGCTTTCTGACGGACGTTTTACGACGCTTGAAATGATGAGCGTGTGCGTGCCAACGTGCGGGCTTGAGAGGAGGTAGGTTGGGCTCACAGTTGCCTGTCGGGTGGTCGAGGTGTCAGTTCAACTGTACTGATCATTATGTTTAGTTCATATCATCGCATGCAAAGCAATTCTGTTCGAATATCCGTTCTTCCTTGGTCCATCGAAAATTTAGCGAAACGTGCCAAATCGTGAAATAACGCGTTCATCGCAGTACACTGCGAGAAAAAAGTACGTAAAAAGTACGCAACATGTCTGGTCTATAATTTGCCTGGACCGTCCGTACTTGCCAACTACGGAACGTTCTGTACTTTATACCGTACCCATTTACATGGGTTCATATGGCGAGCAAGTACGGAACGTTCCGTACACGGTAAAAAAGGTACATGGTTTTCCCAGGCAGGAGCCCTATGGCGAAGACATAGGCGGTTTCCAGGGGGTTCCTGGGAAAACCAGGAACCGTTTTTACCGTGTACTTTTCTCCGCACCTCCGTTCTATATTTTTCTGTACCAATTCCGTACAAAAGTAAGGGAGTATGGGGCGATTTGTAACAGATTTCGGAACTCGCTATACAAAATTAAGAACATTCTGCATATCGGTGTCAAACTTGTGCCAGTTGAGCAGTCTGGCCCTTCATCTAGACTGTGCAGCTCCATTGGATCAATCTGGAGTCCGTAATCTTTGAAATCTAAGACGTTTTTCAAACCCTTGCATGCTGTTACGAATCGCCCCAGCATGGGGCGATTTGTAACAGCCATGGGGCTTTTCATAACATCCTCCACATTAAATGAAACGTCGTCGGGAATGTTATCTCCTCCACCAGTTGTTCTTCGGGTGTCCTGCAGACGTCTAAAAATCTACATTACAAGCTGTCGTTGACCGCCTCCGCATTAACTGATCGGCTATGCCAATCCTAACCTCACTTTTTTCAATTTTAGATGAAAGAAGAGAATAACTCGCTTTAAGGCCAGGGACAGGTGAAAAAATGAAGAAGTTTGGTGAAATTGAATGAAATGAGTTCCGGGTGGAAAATGGTCCTTTGGACCTTCCTCTTTCAGGATCTGTCGGGACTTCGACTATCCGGGACCTGGAAGTGCTTAAAATACATCTTTTCACACACTCCTGCATTTACGACACTT